ATTCTGAAAGAAACACAGACAGTTGGGGTACAACTTATAAGGATACATAACCTAAAAACTCTACCATAAACAGGGCTAGAGATTATTCCTGTGATATTTGGCAAATAATGATACTTCCTTCTTTCTGTGTCTTGAGAAATTGAGATTGAATGTAGGATTAATGGATTAACTTCTTTGTTGGAAAGTAAATTTTAAGAAAGCATGGTATGCATGCTGTGACATGTCATTTGCACAGTCTTCTTAATATGAGAGGAGAGAGAGAGAGAGAGAGAGAGAGAGAGAGAGAGAACTAAAAGATAAAAATACGAAGTTATTGAGACAAGTTGTGTGAACAACTTTAACATTGTGGACAAGAGGAGTTCAGAAGAAAAAATATCTGTAGTAGTAAAAGATAAACCACTCTCTCTTCACTTGGAGAATAGGCAGGGTGCCGTGAAGGTAAGCCCATACCCTCAAAGGCTCCAAGTTGGGAAAACGCAATTACCTGAAAGGAGAAAGCCTGAACTGGGAATGCTACAGAAACCATTCTGTCTGCCACCAGGTGTGATGGTTCATATCTTTAATCCCAGCATCCTAGAACTCAAAGGCAAATGCAAATGGATTTCAGTGAGGTAGATGCCTCACTGGTCTACATAGTGAGTTCCAGGCCAGCTGGGACTACAGGGAGACCCTGTCTCAACAAAACAAAACAAACAAAACAAACAAACAAACAATATAGGCTTGGGAGAGATGTTCTAGAGTAGGTTAATCTCTGGGAATGCCTATGAGGGATTATATAGTTTAGGTTAATTGAGATGGGAACATCTGTGGATATCACTATTTTATAGGCTGAAGTGTCAGATCAAACAACAACAAAAAAAGAGTAAACTGGAAACAGGCATTCCAAGCCCTTCTTCCTGAGTGTGGATACATTGTGACAAGCAGCTTGAACTCCTGAAGCCATAACTTCCCAGCCATGATGGACTATGTCCTCAAATTGAGTAAGAATAGACTCAGTTGCTTCTGTCAGACATTTTGTCACAGCAACATGACAAGGCACTAACATATAACCAGAGCTGTAAAATGTGCTACAGTCTTCACAATAACCAGCAGTATAATCAGTGTAGGAGTTGGTCAGCTGCTGAATGGATAAAGGAAAAGTGGCATGCCTACACAGTGGAATTTTTTTTTTTTTTTGACTTTTTGAGACAGGGTCTCCCTATAGCCCCAGCTGTCCTGGAACTCCACTGTGTAGACCAGGCTGGCCTTGAACTCAGAGATCCGCCTGCCTCTGCCTCCCGAGTGCTGGGATTAAAGGCATGCACCACCACACCTGGCCACAGTGGAAATTTATTCAGTCATAAAAAAGTAGAATTATGTAATTGTAGAAAATAGAAGCTGCTGGAGATCATCATATTAGGGAAATAATTCAAGTGTAAGAAGACAAGTATTTAGTGAATGTAGCCTAGATTTTTTATAGGTGGGTAAGATTAGAAGGATGGGGAAGGAAGATTAAAATCGAGGCTATGAGGTTTTATATGGTCAAGATACATGATATACTTGAATGAAAAATTCAACACTACACTATGTATAATTAATATATGTCAATATTATTGAAGTTCTATGGAGATATTTAAGAATGACATTACTGATCATATCCAAAGACTGGAAACATTCAAGAAGTACAGTAATTGGTCAGAAGGCAAACAATATGTGATATATACATTTAATGAGCTCTTCAGCAGTAAAAAAAGAAACAGTATTCATAGAGCCTAGAAGAGGGGGCTTTAAAACCATACAAAGTGTGAGAATGCATCCAAGTGCAAACAAGGCATAGGATATGGGTTACTTGAAAAGAAATGTCCATGCAACACGAGTAATAGGGGCAGACAGAGGATGTTATTGCTTTGATCTGGAGGAAGGAACTGGGAACTGAGATTCTTGTTCATGTGATAAAATACTTTAAATTTAGAGAAAAATAGTTAAATCATTCAAAGATGCACTTAAAATGAGTGAGTTAGAGTGTGTGTAAGTTATCACACTAATAAAGTTGCTAAAATTTTTTTTCACAAGAATGTGAATAGTATGGCTTCTCAGGATCAAGATATATTCTATTTTTCTTGCATATAATAACAACTACTATAGTGTTGGCACCATTTACTATATGACATTTATCACATGCCATCCTTTTAGACTTTTATATCTTATCATATTATTTGTAATAAGAAACAACATGATACAGGTAAATGTAGAGAGATCGTATGAAAAAATGAGATCAGGTGGTATGGTGAGGTCAGGAGAGATGGTATGGTGGTTGGTAGTTGCTGGGCCGGCCTGATTGTTGTTTTTTTTTTTTTTTTTTTTTTTTTTTTTTTTTTTTTTTCCATTTAGACCTGTAGTCTTGAATGTATCTGAGAGCTAAAAAATGACATTTTAGTCCTATTTGCATCACAACTGTCCTGTTATAAATATTTTATACATGAATACAAAAAAGTTCATTCATTTTTTAAAATTTCAACAATAATGAAACTTGGTAATAATAATAATAATATGAAAAGAAAACCAAAAGGGGAGGGCAGAGCCATTCCAGCACAGAGTTCAAATCCAAGAACTTGGTTGTTTTCTGCAGGTCCAGAGGGCCTGTGTCACTTGAAAGCCTTAGTTACAATCCAGTTGTGAGAACGCTAAACCTGAAAGGAGTTCCTAATGTTTGCCTCTGACCATTGTAAGCAAGCTGGCCGGCTACCACCTTCCTAACTACGAGCTTTGCGAATCCAATATTCTGCCAAGAATATACCTTGATACTAGCACTCAGCCCGAGAGGTCGTGGGTCTTTTCTCTTCTTTCTTTCTTTCTTTCTTTCTTTCTTTCTTTCTTTCTTTCTTTCTTTCTTTCTTTCTTTCTTTCTTTCTTTCTTTCTTTCTTTCTTTCTTTCTTTCTTTCTTTCTTTCTTTCTTTCTTTCTTTCTTTCTTTCCTTCTTCCTTTCTTTCTCTCTTTCTCTCTCTTTTTATTTAAGTTAAATGTCTAGGAGGGGATCCCTTGTATTTCAAATTTTGATACTGGTTTCATTGCCACCAGTTAGTGCATGTTTAGCTTAGCTTCATTTCATTCTGCTCTCTGGAATCCTTGGGCAGAGCCTAGTTTGTAACTGTTGGGAAAGAACGGCTGAATTTTTAGCTGTTTTGAGTTGATTCGTACCACTGCATCCTAACTCAATAAGAGAAAACTACTTATTTATTATCTTGTGAAAAATGTACCTTGAAAATTTTATTCACATTGTATTTATCGAGTATGATGAAAAGCAGAAGATATATATTTTTATTATGTTTAATCATCATTGCCATTATTAAAATGCAAAATGTGGAGTGTATGTCCTTTTCACATATGTTTTTTGTAACTTTATTGGTTGTTTTATTATAAATGAGCTTAAAAAAATCTTAATTTAAGAGATTATATGTAATATTTATTTCATTAGTCTGTTTCCTTGTTTACCTAAATTTTGAAAGCTTGCATGATTTCTTTACAAAAATCTATCTAAATATTCTGGAAGTAGTTTGAGGAATGTTTTATGAGTTTTCTTAGACTGTGTAATGGTTGTAGCTCATCCACCTTTAAAGAGAAAAGAAATGCCTATATCCTTTGCAATCAGGCTTACATGTGGTGTCATTTCCTGATTCCAACTTTATAAACTAGCAAAATACAAATGTGTGTTTGCTGATTCCACCACTCCTACTGCAACATTCTTGAATACAAAGACATAGCAATAAAGGGGAAAATAGTCTCCCAGTGCCTTCTGAGGGGGCCAAGCATGCCTTAAATCATCCTCAACCAAATGAGTACTTTATGAGTGCTTGAGAGGATTTGAATGTAGGATGGGTTCAACTGCACAAAAGGAAAAGAAAGTTTACCACATTTTTTATATAGCTATAAAGAGGCCACCTCTTAGCTGAAAAGGTATATAGTACATGAATATGCCTTACTTAATTACAGAAGATTCCAAAACTTATGCTGTTATTTTCCCATAAAAATGACAGGAATGTCTCCAAGGCTTTCCTGGATGACAGATGACTGAGTGGCAGCTTAGTTTTTATGGAGGTACAGTTGGAGCTCTCTGAATGTACTCTTTGGACCACTTTGACAGAAGTATTTTTAAATGTAACAAAATAAGTCAACTGGAGTTGTAATATATTTAGGGGAATCAGTTCACTACAAATTGAGACTGTAAACACTGTAAATGTTTTATAGTTATCCCCCAAATAAAATTTTTGGGAAAACAGTATTTTAAAAAATTAGATCAAAGATTCTTAGAATATTACATTCATAGAATCAACCAGGGCTTTTTATAACTCATTTATTGTGTGTATGCCTACCTGTGTGCAAGAGAAATATTCATACCAAGCGGAATTAAATAAATGAAATAAATACTTTAAGCAATATATATTTAGTCTCCATAATTATTGGCTCTGTATATAAATAAAATAACTGACCATTATTTCTTAAAGTATTTAATTTTAATAATGTTTGGCTGATAAAGCAACACTCATACTTTAAGGATAAGGTTTTAAGAGAAATGAAGTCACCCATTTAACTTATTAATAAATTGAGAATAGCAGTAGCATTTTTATAGACTTTTAGTTGGGTATAATGATATCTGTAACATAGAATTAAAAATAAGTTAAATTTGATATATTTTCACATGTTCATTAGCACAGAACATCATCTTATGATAAAAAATGTGCATCTGTTAGTCATTTTAAGCTTGAATTTAGCAACACAAATGGTCAAATCAATAACAAAACATAAGGCTTATTTCCTTTGTTTAAGACATGAAAATTTTATCAATGATTATTATTGACTTTTAATAAATTCATAGGCTTTATTATTATACCTTAGAAGAGGTGTTTGGTTAACAGAAAGATAAAATTATTTATGATCAGCAAATTTTCATAGATTAAGAGATTTCAGTAAATGTGAGCTCTTGGACAGGTTAAAAAAAATAAGACTTAGTGGGAAATCTTACCACACCAATGGAAAAGTAATTATTGATGATACTGTAAGGCACTGGGTCTCCTTTCTCATCTTTGTCGTTAGGGATGACTTCAAACTTCCATCTGTCCAGCATGATTTCTGTGCTGCTTTCAATGTCTTTCAGGATTTTCATCAGATTTTCACCTTCATAACCTAATGAAAAAAGTTATCTTGAGGCAAAAAGATAATCAACCAATAAAAGTTACCCTTATATGTGGAAAAGTTACATTTATACATGCTTAGGTTGGTTTACTCATGTGAATTATTCTATCAACTAATGCACTTAATTCAAATTCCAACACAGAAAATTCTCTATACTCTCATGCTCATACCAAGATTTTATTCTTTTTCTTCATTTGCAACAAATATTTCTCTTTGTGGCATGAATTCTTAGTATGCCCAATTGCCAAATAATATTTCTACTGAATACCATTTTACCCTCGTATCAATATATTAAACGTACCTTTTAACTTCCATAGCTTCCTCTTGCACATCTTATAACCGAATGACACCCCCCCACACACATTTTTGCTGAAGTAATGAACCCAGGACCAATGTTACACTTTCCATTTGTCCATGATTGTCATATTCCCACCAATTCAGAGAAAAGAGGCTGTTCTATTTGAGGCTGTTTCATTTCATTTCTTAATCTGTCTACCTGTAGTGTTCCTTTCTTTGTAGTTAGGTTGTATCTATTTCTTCCACATGTTCCAACCTGTAGAACACCACTTTTTGAACCAACCTCTCAACATAAAATATCATATGTTGTCACAGGTCAGTGACCACAATTCAAGCCTGATGGGCTTGGGGGCCCCGAGGTATAGGTGCAGAAGAAATCAGGATGCAGGGGATGCAGAGGCGTGTGAACCAATGCATGCTTTATTCTAAGAAGCAACCTTATTTATAATACAACAAGAGGAAGAGAAATATTCTACTCAGGCCAAATGACCTCATTCTGACATTTGCAGTACCTTCCTGACCTTAACAATTTCTTCAAGTTTTCAGAGCTCAGCCATGTTTGGGATCTTATCTATCTTTGTAGCTTTATTATGTATCTTTAATCAGGTACAAGGAACAGTCAGTCTTATGATAAGAATAACCACAGAAGAACATCCAAGTTCCCAGGGAACTGAGGCCTCCCGTTCCAGCTCTGAGTTTAGTACTGATCAGAGCTCGGGCCTTCACAATATGTCCCTCCCATGTGGCAGCACCCAGCCCTCAAACTGCCCTATCTTAGAATGAGAACATGGCATTACCCTTACTTGTGCTTTTCCCATTACAGTTTCCTTTGTCAGATCTGGTTAGAGCTAATGCTTAAAAACTTCACCATTTAATGAATATTCTTTAGATGGTCAACATGGCCCCAAGGAAAACATTTGCTTAATACTGTACTTCTCTTAAATTTCTTGTGTGTGTATACCATACTCTGAGGACTGTAGGCTAACCTTTTGAGTGCTACTGTGTCTGTTTCTTGACTTCTCTTGGTATTAATTTACTTTGCTTTCCTACCTCAGATTTGCTCTGAGAACTAAATGAGATAAGGCATGAAATATATCAACCTTCAGCATGTGGGATAGAATGTTCTCAATATGCTACTGCTGATGATAATAAAATCAGAATTTAAACTGTTTATGAGCTGTCAAAGTATACGACTCCTAGGTGTAGAAAATGCCACAACATATGGCAGAAACGACAGGCTGAGGGAAGGGTCCAGAGCTGACTGAGGGTAGGGCACCCAGTCTTGGGGATTCCCACAACATACTGTAGAAGCTGTGGAACAAGGGAGGTGGCCAAAGATGATCCAACATTAAGTCACCAGGCAGGAAATTCACACCTTATATGGCAGAAGTTGCAGAGACAGTGAAGAGAACCAAGCTTATGGTAATGATTTTTACAATACAGACATACTCTGGACAAACGAATCTGACTTAAGTTGCTACCAAAACTTAATCTTATCTTAGCTTGTTTACAATGTGGACAAGCTCACTGAGACTCAAGGTCCTCTTCTGACCTTGGCATATAGCCTTAATCTGTCATGGCCCTTTCTTGCCCTTTAACCAGAAAAATGTATGTGTGGATGCACTGCATATTATTGGAAGCAATAAAGATTATTCCATTTGTGTTGCAAACAGCAGGGATTAAATTGATAAAATCTGCTTCTGCTTGTGTGTGTGTGTGTGTGTGTGTGTGTGTGTGTGTGTGTGTGTGCTGTTTTAGCTCAACTGGAGTCAGAAAGGTTATAATCCTATGATAAGAGTCTTTTAATTCCTTATTTCATAGTGGATATATTGTTTCAATAAAAGAAAAAGGATAGGCTTTGTTTGGGAGCACAGTTCCAAGGGAATTCTGAAGGAACACATTCTCAGAACACTTTCCAGCCCTTTTGCCTGAAATGGATGCTAAGTCAGGCTGTCCTTCTTTAAGCACTGCCGTAATGTGGCATTGCTAGTAACTGCCACACAAGCTGGCCCAGGATAAAGTCCCCAGGCTTGGGGAGTCCAACATGAACTGAGCAGACTCAAGGAAGAGCCTGGAATTGACTGAAGGTTCCCTGGTACAATGATTTCTAGTGTAAAATGAAAATAGAGAGGGGTAGAAAGATTTACACATGGAGGAGGCTGGAAAGAGGAGGGACACGAGGAGGCAAGGAGGGGTGTTAGACAAAGTAAAAGGAATACAAAAAAGCCATACGGAAACATATTGTCTTGCTACCAAATTAAAAACTATGCTTAGAGAAGACAGTAAAAAACACATGACGTGAAGGAAGAAGTGAAGGAAAACTAGCGGCTACAGGCTAGAGGAGGCATGAAGGCAAATAGATGGGGAAGGAGTAGGTAGAGGGTAGGTTACCCAAAGCATAGCATACATGAAAATAGCTGATAGAAGCCTGCTAGTTTCTAAGCTAATCAAAAATATAATAAGGAGTTTGAATGAACTACCCTTTACAGGAGAATATTGCTGCTCCCCAAAGACATGAATTATCAAGTGAAAACTCCAGTGCCAGGCTTGGGCTTCTTCAACACAAGCTATTGGTTGGAGGACTTCAGTAGGCCCCCTAAACAACATAGGCTATTGATAATGATTTTTCTTGCTCACCATAGGTAGATGATAATTTGTATGTGAAGACAAACATATTTTGGTCACAGGGAATAGAAAAATCAGTCTCACTCTTAAAAAGACCCTTCTTCTCTGATGGCTAGCTTTCTTAGAAGATTCTATTCATGCCATCAGGGGAGAAAAATTATCAATAGCATCATCCAGCACTGGACCCTGCTAGGCAAGATGTGCCCACTAATGTGATAGTGGCATACCTGTTATGGCAGTAACCAACTTCTTTCTGATTAGATTTGAGGCTTATTCCACAGGAAGGAAGTCATGCTTGGTACAGTACACATGGTGAGCATCCATAGCTGGGGAGGTCATAGGCCCAGGAAATGTACCACTGTTGTTTTACTACATGGGCATATCAAACTGCCTTTTAAATATTTAATTTTATACTCATGGATTGGTGAGGCTCTCAGTCTTAGACAACAAAGCTTCTTTTTTCAGTGGTAGTGGTTAATTCAGAGAATTATACCTGATCAAAGTGCTAAAAAATAATTGACTATGTGTTGTTCTCAATTTTGCTCAGAGAAACTTTTTTTTTTTCAGTAGGTCAGGGTTAACGTAGAGATTCATAATTGGCCAAAGTACTGAGACGAGTGACTGATTTCACAGCCCTAAAATGGACATCTATACTAACCCTTCTCCAGGGTTCAGGGAACATCACAGCCAAAAGGTAGTAAAAAATGTAAGAGCAGGAAGATTGGGAAGAATGGTGGGAAATACCATCTTCTGGACATGACACAGCTATTACACTCATGAACTCAGTTCAAATTAGCTGTCATGACTTACACAAGACCTGCACAAGACCAAGCCAGGCACAACTCCAGAATGGATGGGGAACTCTCTGAAAAGACTCCACTCTTAGCTGAGAAACTATTTGCACCTGAGTGTCCCTGGGTCAGGATAATCATTTTCTTTGGTGGTATAACAAATTGTTGGTTGTCCATGCTCCAGTTGATGGTTCCATATCCATTCATAGAATAGCAGAACTAACTGGACTCAGTGGGTCAAAAAGAAGAACATGGAGTTGGGTGAAGACATTTTGAAGATACTTGGGGAGTGTTGAAGGAAAGTGGGTGTGTCTATGATCACAAAATATTGTATATAGGCATGAAAGTCTCAGAATAAATGTTTCAAAAAGTAAAATGTAGGATTGAAATAATCTGCCTCTCTCTCCCACACACAAGCGCATAATTCAAAAATTATATTTTGATTAGTGACAATACTTTCAATAGTTACTGATCCAATTTTTGATCTTTAACAGTAATTTATATCCCAAACAAGGAAATATCAACAGATCTGAGTTCTCATTAATTAGTATATGTATCATATGTATCATTGGAAAAACTCCCTGGATTAAAAGAAATGAGAGTAGTTATCCTCACATACAATAGTCCCTAAAGAAGAATAGGTTTCATTTAAACTCTACCTGTCCAATTGCCAAAGACTAGAAGTTACACTTTTGGAATCCATTCTAACCTTGCATACTATTTTTTTTTATTTTTTATTTATAGATTTTTTTAGAGTATTTCATACAGAATATCCCAAACAATCTCATTTATCTTTATACCTGCATCCCATATGGAACCCTCCCACTGCCTCCCCCTCCCCACTGGAGCCCATATATTCTCTCATCCCTGTTACTGTCCACTGGGTTATCAGTGCCCCAGCTGTTACCCAGTGCAAGTCCATCCACTGGGTCTTGTCAGCATATCTAGAGTTCCTTGTTTTAGAAAGATCAGCTCTTCCTCATCTAGCAGCAATCAGTTGCCAAAATTCCTTTAGATAAGATTGGGTTCTGCTATTGATTTTCCAAGTTCTGTGCTGGGTTACTATCTGGGAGCCTTTTGGGTCACACTCAACAATACCTCAAAGGAAGGTATCTCCTGTCTGGCGTTCTTTCTTCTTATGTAGCCTTTAGCTATGGACTCTTACATAATTATACTGATCACTTTAATCTTTGGTTATACCTTCCTTTTTGATGTTTAAGACCATAAAGTTGTCTCAGATTAACCAATTTATTTTTACTATTAAGGTCATTTGAGGAT